TGTACATATTATCTCCTAATTTGTGAATTTCTATCTGTTCATTCATGACTGTCCATTGGAAAAAAATGATGTCTTTCATTTTCTCCTTTCTTTTCTACTTCTTTCTTAATATTATTGAATATCATTGTTAATTTACTTTCTGGTTTAATCATCATTTCTACTCCTTTAATATTTTCTTTTCTAATTTTCACATTCTTCTTATCATTGGAAATGATTTCTTCAATTATTTTCTTTTCTTCTTCTTTTAAATATTTCATTCTATCAATTCTTTCGTATTCATTTCTATCATACAAATACACATTCATTTCATCATATTCAATATCAATAATCATTGTTATTGTTTTACTTTTCATCTTTTATTTATTTTTAAGTTCATTTAATTTTGATTTTTATAACATTTTAATATTTTTGTTATTTAAAATTGATTTGAATTAAATAATATAATAATTTATCATCATTGAATATCTTCATTGTGTAATGTAATGAAACCTAAACAAGACATTCACATTCGAGTGAATAAAGAAGAGTAATGAAGTAGTAATAAAATACATAATAAGAATGGTAAAAGAATACAATGAAAAAGTGAATGAAAAGAAATATTAATGAAAAATGAATAAGAAAATATGAATAAAGATAAAAACAATAAAGATAACATCAATAAGAAATATAAAATAATAACAAAGAAATTCAATTGAAAATAAGAAAATAAAGAGTAAATAAGTGAAAAGAGAATATGAAGAATAATATAAATAAAGAAAATGATGATATAAAACAAAATGAATTGAAACAAAATAAAATGAAAAGAGAGAAAGTTAAATAAGAAATAAATAAAGAAATAAGAAGAAGATAATAAAGAATAAATTAACAAACAACACAACATTATCAAGAAATTAAAAGAAGATACTGAAAATTGAAAAAGAAGAAAGAGATAAATCAAAACAAACAATAAACAATAATAAAATGAAATAATAGTAAGAATAAGAAGAAAAGATAAATAATATACAACAAGAATAACAATATAAAATAATATCAATACATCATTATGATAATGAAATTTAACAATGAAATAGAGAAATAAACAATAATAATAAATACATAACAATAATGATAATAACAATAATGAATATAAATATGAAAGAAACAACAAGAATGAAAAAATAAAGAAATAAAGAATAAGAAGAAATGAATATAAATAAAGAAGATATAATAAACAAAGAATAATTCACATTATAATCATTATTAATTATTTTATTCTTCTAAATACAAACAACAAATTGATATTAAAATAATGTTAAATAATAAAGATATAACACATTGTTAATTTATTTGATGATATTCAAAATCAAAACATAATAAATTTATTTTTATGAAACAAACTATCATGATTAATATTGATGATGAAGTAATTATGAAAGATAAAGAGAAAGAAGATACAATAAACAATGAAATTCTAAATAAAATAAACAAACACATTTATTTTATCATTTATTTTGATTTTTGTTGAATGAAGTATTTTTCTTATTTCAACATTCAATTGTGAGAATTCTCATTCATATTTTTCATATGATTCTTTAAATAATTAGAAAAAGAGAGAATTGATAAAAGTGAATGTTATTCAAATAGAGAATGATATTATCAAATAATATTATCAGAATATTATTATATCTTATTCATTATACTCATATCATAGAGTATAAAACACATCAACCATTATTCTAAATTAAAAAATGAACAAATCAATCATTATATTTTTCACTTTATATCTGATTGAATGTCATCTTTCAAACAATAAATTGATGATTAATCCTCTTCAATATCAAATATTTAAATTACTTCCATTATTCATTATTATCAATCATGAATTATTGTACAATGAAATGATTATAAGAAAGAATAATGAGATTTGATGATGAAGAACTTAACAAGAATGATATAATATCATTTCAAGAGTTGTTTGGTACATTTCATCTAAACAAATAATCTTCTTAGAAAAAGCAAAACAATAAGAATTTGTGTATGAAACTCATTTAGAAACATCAAAATTGATATCTATCGAGTTGATGGTGTATGTATTTTATCATGTTTTCATATTGTAAATCAACATCAAAATATTTATACAAGATGATGTTATTCAGATGGAACATCTGTAAAATGGATTATTCATGGTAAAATTGATGTTGGATTTAGAAAAGAAATACATTTGTTTTCTACACATTTCTAACAGATTATTATGAAAACAGAGAAGACAATACCAAATCAAGATTCATTGAAATAAACAAATCAATGAATGTCATCATTTTATTAATGAATGTACAACATATGATAATGACCAATTCATATTTGAATGAACTTAAATATTAAATGAGAAACACAACAATATGACGATTTTATTACCACTCTCAATTCTAGTGAATTCAATATTGAAACACATGATTTTTTGATTGAAGATAAGAAAGTTCAACAATAACACACAGTGAATGTATTGATGGAGAACAAATTGACACAGTCATTCATTGTAAAGTTCCAACACCAATTAATGAATGGATTATATTTGTGAGAATTAAGAAAGGAACAGAAATAAAAGCATTCAAACAAATGGATGTAAATTTCAAACAATAAACAACCATTTCATTATATGTCTGAACAGTGACAAATAGAAGTGACAATAGAATTAATGTAAATGATAAATAAAATAATAACAATACAAAGAAGATATGAAATAAGAAATGATAAAACAACAATTATTCAAATGAAAATATTATAATTTCATGAAAAAACAATAATCATTTTTAATTTTTGATTTAAATGAAGAAGAAAATAGAATGATAATCTTAAAAATATTTTAAGTTCAAAATAAAAAAGAACTAAATAAAAAACAAATAAATAAATAATAATAGAATTTGTATTTATTATTTGTTATTCAATGGAGATTAATCTTATCAATGAATCTTCATCATATAATTCAACAATATATGTTTGGTTGTGGTAGAAGTAATGTTCAATGACATCCATCATGTTTTTAATTACAATGTTTTTAATTTCTTTTATGATGTTAATTTCATTTTTAATTATTTGATTAATTTAATATGGTCACGAAATTATGCATTTTATTCGTATTCATCATTATATTATTATATTGATTTGTGATGTTGTTTATTATTTCAGAGTTGATGTCTAAATGTAATGAATGTATTCATTGTTTGTTTAAAACATGGTGTTTATGTTTGTTAGATCATTGAAATGAATTATCATGTTGCAAATTAATTCTTGTTAAATGTTTAAAAGGTAAAAAATAGTAGATAATACAATTAGATGTAAATATTTGTGATTAAATATGAGAATAACATATTTGTATATTATGAGTTCTATCTTTCTAATTCGATTTCTGTATTAAATGAATATATCTGTTGATGAAATTGAAATAAAATAAATATAAAATGATAAATGATAAAAGAAAGAATAAAGAAAATAATAAGAAAATAAATATAATGATTAATGATAAATTAATGAGTTATTATCATGAATGAAAATTGAAGATGAACATTAAATTCATTATTATTAATTATAAATGTTTAATTTATATTACATATTAAATAGTCATTCTTCATTATGTATTATTGTGTTGATGTTTAATTTATTCAATTTGTTATTATCATATCATCATTTCATTGATACTTCTTATTTATTATCTTTTTATTTATTTCATAATTTATCTCTTGTTTGATATGATAATATAAATAATTTACATTGTATATTATCATCATTCATCATTGATAATCATCTATGATATAATTTAATTTTCATATCAATAATTATATCATTTAAATAAATAAATAATAACATTTGTTAACATATCATTATGACATCTCATCAATATGATAAATGAAATGTAACATAATTACTCATTAATAACAATACGATTGATATTCATATTTATGTAATCATTTTTATTCATAACTAACATTATAAATTTGAATTAATATAATGCTCTTCTTTATTACATTTCATAATGATATTTTCACATTAAAATAGAATTGAAGGTAAATGAAATAAAGAATAATATAAAAAGAACAGAATTATGAATGAATATACTCAACAAATCAAGATACATCATACTCAATACAATAAGATATTACAAAATGTCAACTGATTGATATAGAATTTGTATTTTACCTACATTTTATTTTATTTTATATTTTTAATTTTTTAAGAGAAAATAATAGAAAACAGAATAATCTAATATTCAAAAAATATATTACACTATTTTCAATTGATCATTTTATTTAAATGCATAATTTCTTCGCTTATTTTGGTTCCCTATTTTGTATTTATTATTTATTTTGTTATCTCAATTTCCATTCTATCTAAGTTACATCTATTTATTACTGATAATGTGAAGATATTATTTAATTCATTGTTAATTATTGTAATATATCTTATATTATTACTTTCTTCACTATTTATTTCATCAATTTTCTTCATTATCTTTTATTTGATGATTTTATAATTAAATATATTATTAATTTCATCTGATTATCATACATTTAAATATTTATACATTTCATCTCTTTCATTTATTTTGATATTTTCATTTTAAGATAGTATTTGATTAATATTCTTTATTTCTTGTTTTATTTTCTCATTTCTTTATTCTATTTATTATTTGTTTATTTTATGTGTTGATTATTCTCATTTATTCATTATTTGTATCATTATTCTCATTTATTCATTATATAATATATGATTTATATTATTGAACTTATATTCATTGATTTGATAAATTATATTTATTCTGATAATGATAGAATTGATAATGAATCATAATGTAAAATTCATCACTTTAATATATCATTTATATTCATTATATTTATATCATATGATTATACTCATCATATTTTATACATTATCTATGTTGATTTATTTTATATTAAATTATTTTAATATTTTATTACTTATTCATTATTTCTGATTCATATGATTTATTAATATCATGATATGAATCTATACATTTGTTTATTTATCTTCTTTCTGTTGATTTAATATATAATTATTAATTATTCATTATTTATTATCAAGAGATTATAATTTACATTATAATTGATTTTTATTAATTTTAAATGATTCATTATTCATATTAATTCTATTATGATTATTATCTTTTAACAATGATAAATATTTTCATAATTATATTTATACAATTGATATGATGTTAATTAATAACATTGTTCATATCATCTCATTTATTGATTAATATTGTTCTTCATTTTACTATATTTAATTTGTTGATTTCATTGAAATTTAATTATTCATTAAATGTGTTAAGAATATTTTTTCTTGATGTTGATATTCTCTTCAATTAATATAAATATATAATGTCAATACCTGGTGATTTCTAGTTACTTATTTTCATCATAATTAAAATTAAATCATCCAATATGATGATATTATCATAATTTCTGTATCTTTCATTCTAAATTATGATTTAATTTATTTCCATTTATTTTAATTGAATGATGATAATATTAATATATTCATTATCAATATCAATAGA